TCCACTCACAGATATAGAATCTGATCCTATTCCTCAACCCAGTCGCCCTAAGCAATCTGCAGCCCTGAAACCTGATCAACTTGCACTCCCAGACTTGCACAAATGCCTCACTACAGCTGGAATTGCAGCAACAGCACTTGAAGATGAGTCAGAATCAAAATCAGATGATGAACCAGACAGCTACTCACCAGTCGACTATGCTATGATGGTGGATATTGAACCAGTAACCATGAAGGAGGCCCTGAGTGGTCCTGATGAAGGGGAATGACATGAATCAATGCTTGCAGAGATAAGGCAGTGTGAGAAGAAAAAAGCATGGGAGGTGATGAAAAGAGAAGATGTTCCCACAGATGCAAATATCATGGGTACAAGGTTTGTCTACCAGATCAAACAAAATGAAACTGGTGAGCCTGAAAAGGCTAAGTCCTGTTTTGTAGCCCAAGGATTCTCTCAGATCCAAGGTGTTGACTACTTCAACACCTATGCCTCAGTTGTCTATCTTCCTACTCTCCACATCCTACTCTCCATGGCTGCCTCTCGAAATGCAATTATAGACCAAGCCAATATCAAAAATGCATACCTGCATGCTAACATCACTGAGGAAATCTATATCAAGTTTCCAAACAGATATGAAGAATTCTTCATAATCTCGAAACACCTCAAAGATCAGAACATTTATGCCAAGCTGCATAAATGTCTGTACAGCACAAAACAAGCAGGATGTGGCTGGTATCAGACCCTGAAGGCAACAATGATCTCTCTAGGATTCACTATCAGCAATGCAGATAAGGCTGTTTTCTACTGGATCAAATCAGAGACCAAATATACCATTGTCACTGTTGCCACAGATGATTTCACCATCATTGCAGACTCTCAAAATGAATCAGATTGATTCAAATGAGAAATAGGCTCACATTTCGAGCTAGTTGATCTCAGACCCATACATTGGCTCTTGGGGATGCATATCACTCAGAACTGGAAAAGGCACACCATCAGCATTGGACAGCCAGCCTACATTGACCAGATCACAAAACGATTTGGAGTTCAGGACATAGCACCATTTGCAACACCAATAGAAGTGAACCTTGATCTAAACTCAGATTCACCCTCTATATCCATGGAATCTGTTACACCATGTGAAAAAGCACTCTATCATGAGCTGCTAGGGTCCCTCATGTATGTTGCAGTTGGATCTCACCCTGAAATCAGCTATCCAGTATCAGTGTTATCACAATTCATGGAAGACCCACATTCAACTCACTTAAAGGTGGAATTCTGAGTCCTCCATTATCTCAAGGGTATGTGTGATCAACAGCTCATAATCAGTGATCCTGGCATCAGTCCTAAGGGCTATCATGATGCAGCATATGCCAACCAGCCTGGATGAAAGTCTATGTCTGGATTTGTCCTATTCATGGGTCAAGGCACTGTTATGTGGATATCGAGAAAGCAACCAATTGTTACTGTCTCCACCAGTGAATCAGAATATGTTGGACTCACACCAGCATCGAAGAACATGATATGGCTTCACAAGCTCCTCTCAGAGCTCTCCATATTCATTGCAAACTCTTCCATTTACCCAACAAACCCAACTATCCTCTTCTCTGATAGTCAAAATGCACTTTCTATTGCCAAGGATTCAGTATTCCATGAACGAATGAAGCATATTGGAGTTCAGTACCATTTCATTCACCAAACTATCAAGCAAGGCCACATCAAACTGATGTACTGCCTAACTGATAATATGGTTGCCGACATCCTCACAAAACCGTTGGCCCATCCAAAATTCAAGAAGTTTATGGAGGCACTGGGTGTCATGTAAGTGAACTATTTACATTTTGAGGGGAAGTGTTAGACATAGAAATAGTATGATATGCACATGTTCATTTACCTATTTGATGTTCCTTCTTTTTTTGGCATGTCACACCATTCTGCACATCTCAGCTTTCAACCATAATGCTGAGATTAATGTTATGACATTTTATCCTAGCATCCATTCTCTTCCAAAAACTTTTTCCTCATTCACCACATCCACACTCCTACCTTGTTAACTCCAACATGGACTCAATTGAGGACTCTGTTGATCTCTCTGCTAAAATTCAAACTGCACCATCCACACTGAGGTCTAATGATCAACTTGCATAGCAAACCCAAGTAATGTTGCTATTGAATCCATGCTGTTGGAGCAATGAGAAGCTGAAGCATGAGAAAAGCAGAAGGACTGAGCCATATCAAAGTATTTTCATGCTCTGATAGTAGCAAGTTCAGATTCAGATCTATACATTTTCAAAAGTTACTCAGATGTGATGAGGGTGAATGTGGACTATTGAAAAAAGACCACTGATACAGAATACAAGATGTACATAGCAAAGCATACATGAGACCTGATGGATCCTTCAGAAAGTGTGAACATTAAAGACTGCAAATGAATGATTGGCATCTCTTATCAAAAGCCTCCTTGGCTGCATAATGCAGAGTCAACTCATGACATATCCAGACCTATGCTATTCAGTTAGTATATTGTCTCATTTCCAGACCAACCCAAGGATGGCACACTGGAGAGCTCTACTTCACATCCTTGGCTATATCAAAAGCACCCTCAGCCATGGAATTGTCTACTTCTGGTGATGTGCTCAGCAATGGGCAGTGCACAAATGAAATTAGTGTCTAGATCATCAATCTAAATACTACCAACACTCATACATATACACACAATCACCAATTATTAAGTTTGAGAGTGAATATGATAGAAGCACTCATGGTAAAACTTAGATATTCATAATCACTTGGCTATGTTCAAAAGAAACTTCAAGTTCAATTCTAGAAGTATTTACATGAGATACACTGATCATAACAGCAAGATATATGAATGTGGGCTTTTGGTAGAGTATAGATGAGTTGTATAGACTTGAAATGACTTTGTCTAGGAGAGCTTTTTAAAAGCTTGACTAGATGACTTTAAATGATCAAACAGTCAAAAATCTAGTGGTCTACAAAGAGCATAGTTGCTCTAGAATACACAGACTCAATTATAATACAAGCACACACATCTGTGACAAAGAACTGAAGTTCTACAAAGAGTTCACAGGCTCTGCAAAGAAAACACAGACTTTACAAAGAACACACTAGTCCTGAATGACTTTGTAATCTTAATTCACTTCAGTTGAAGATATGCACTTAAAACCTTTGATTAATCAGATAGCTATGAGGCTACTAGCACAAATGCAGGAGGGAAGCTTTCCTGGTGTTGTGCATCTAGTCACTGCTAATTTATAGCATTTTTAGTCTAAGTAAGAGTCCTGTATCTAAAATAATTATGATATGAGCTTGAGTATCAATAAAAGAATGAGTAATTAGATTTTCAAGGATTGCACCATTCTGAGTCTTTTATTCAGTTTTTCAGAATGTCTGAGGGTTATTCTATTGTTGAGGAGTGTCCTACTGGTCCATAGGAACTTCTTATTCAATTTTAATGGCTCTCTATGTGATATTCCATTTAATACTGCATTTTCACACATTTCAAGGGATATGACCACTTGATTGTGATCAATCACTGTGAAATCTTAGTCAGTTATCTTAGTTCCTGGTGGGGCTATTTATTTTCTCCAGGTTGCTATTCAATTCTAAGTTTGTCATGAAATAGATTCCATTTCAACTTGGCAATTGCTTCTTTTCTAGATTTGCTTTCCAGACATCAAGGTGACAAGTAATCAAGTTATTCTGTTGTTGCTTTAGATTGTTTTGCTTCATTTGAAAGCATCTCTGAGACTTGACTCATAATAGTCTAAATTTGGTGGGGAACAACATGAGACACTTTGAAGGCAGATAGAATTGACTCATCTAGATATCATTTATAAGTCCTTCTTGTGCTTCATTGCTCACTTAGCACATGTAGTATTTGACTATCAGTGTAATGCCTCCACTATAGTCCTTAGTACTGCTTATAGATTGCTCATTTTGTTTAGAATTCACAAAATATATGGGTAGCCTGATACTAAGCATACCACCAGAGTGAATCCCTGATGCCTGCAGGCTTCATTGATGCCGATTTTGGAGGATGTCATGACACAAAGGGGTCAATGTCTGGATATGTGTTCACCATGGCCAGCACCCCAGTTTGTTGGAGTGCAGTGGAATATGTTTCATTCCCATGGGCAGTGCAACAGCTCCTGTGGATGTTGTCATGGATGGATGAGATCGCACTTCCACGATCATGATCTGAACTGCTCTACGGTGACAACATCGGTGCTGTAGCCCTCACTACCAATATGAGGACTCATCAAAAGATAAAGCATATTAGTATCCGCAAGCTCTGTATCCGAGAACTCGCCAAGAATGGCAACATCAAGGTCGATTTCATTCGGGGAGATTCCATCCCGGCAGACATGTTCACGAAGCCGCTCCCCATTGCTACCTTGCTCAGCTCAACATTGAATCAGTACGGATCAGGGGGAGTGTTGAAGGAGGATCCATAGGTGTACCCGCCACCGACCTTAGTTTTCCCTTTTTAGTACTTATATCGTTGATCACATATAAAAACCTTACCGTGTTTTTCCGCACCTCAGTCATTTTACATACTCCCTGTGCAGACTGAGTTTTCTTACTCTTTTTCTTCATCTTTAACCAGCCCCAGCAGTGATAGCCTCGAGGTCTCCACTGAAGCCATCCTAAAGAATTTATGAAATCGCAGGCCGCTCAGTGGGCCAGGAAAACCAAGTGCTAGCGGGTAATATCTACCATTTCGTACGGGGCGCGACTGCTAGAGCTAGTATAACCTTTCAATGGGCTTACGCCATCCATGAATTGGTATGACACGTTGGGAGAGTCGGAGAGATCAGCCCCGATATCAATATGCTCAGCTAAGCCTAGTATATACTTTCACTTCTTATCAAGAAGCTGATGCTAGACGTAGGATCTATCAAATCTGAAGTTGCAGAACGCGAATTCAGATGATGTTCCTGAGACCTTTCCCATTCACTGGTTATGTCTTCAATTGAGATACTGGCGTCACCGGACTGCTCGAAACTCCCGGATACACTATTCTTATTCTCTATTGTTCTGTTGCCTTTCCGACTCTTTCGGGACCCTAATGGCACATCTAGATTGAGAAACCATGCAATGGTACTTCTCACTAGCTATCAGTTAAATTTTAATCGAAGGGCTTCTGAGCGTATGCGATGTAGAACGTCAACGTAGCACCATGATGCTCGTTCCACTCTTGCTCGGCCGCGTCATAAATTTTGTCTAACGCAGCCTCCGAATCCACAATTCCAAGTCCTCCAGACCTTAATATGGGCGTCTTCATCCCCCTGAAGACTCCCATGAAGTTATCTCTTCCCTCGCAACCTTCTTCGCCGGCCCACGCTCCCAAAGGGATATCCTGCGCCTGGATGACAATATTGATGAATCCTGCCTCCTTCAAGAGGTTCGGCAAATCATTAGCAATATCCAAAAGTAATCCCCGCGACACGAATAGGGTCCTGATCAGCTCTACGAGCTTTGCATTGTTCTCGCCGGCATGCCACGGTCCAGCTTCACCGAGTTGAATCCACCCACCCGGTCTCAGGGCTTTAAACATCTCTTCTACGGCCTTTGGCCATTCAACGTTAGTGAGCGCAGCGAGGAGTAAGCGCTGGTGAACCAAATCGAAGCGACCGCTCCACTCTGGCGGTAAGTTCGTAACGGAGTTGATGGAGAATGACACAATGCCTGCGGGACCAGATGGGAAAAGACGTCCCTCAATGTCAATACCGTGGAGGATGGAAGACGGGGAAATTCGTAGAGAAAGGTCGGTAAGCCAAACTCCTGCTCAATGGGTTTTCAATGGAAACGCAGAGTGGAGACCTTGTACGAACCTGCACCTGTCCCGGAGTCGAGGACGAATTGGGCTTTGTCTAGATTGACGGGAGCTAAGACCAGTCGATTTTGGAAGGCGCGATTGAGAACTTTATGCTGCAATAAAAGCCTGTGGAATGAAATCAATATTCATTATGTCTTCTGTAGAGTAGCATACCTTTCGTGCTCTGCGGCGTCGGCAGGTAGGACATATTTTGATCCTGGAAAATTATGAAACGTTCGTGAAATATGTTCAATGGGCTTCAAAGCAGTTACTTCTTTGAGTACAACAGTGGCCATGATTTGGAGTGTGGATATCTGGATGGTGGAACTACGACAGGAAGATGCAATTTATCTGGAGGCGGAATCAACAGGAGATCGGACTTGGATCTGACAAGCGTCACAGCACAATAATGAGGCGTTCAATTACCGAGTAACCTGATCAACTAGAAAGATAAAGAAAGAGGTTCTGATATGGATGGAATTCTTGATGCAGAGACTGCTGTGCTCACAAGCGAGAATTGAATACAACCCACACGGTTTTGACACAATTGGGAGAGCCGCTGATTGTCACGGTCCCGATTCTTCTGCCGGTCGTCTTTTCTTCGTGGAGACATCAGAATCAATATCTGGCCAAAATAGACCTTTGTATTGATTGTTCTATCATCCAACAGGTTGAAACCTATACGGCGGAAGAAGGGCACCATCCGTAGAATTTGTACATCTGTCGTTAGCGGCTGATGGGCGGAGTAGCAAGGCTCCTGGTATTAGGTGACTATTTCAGGCAAAGCAATTTCGAAGAACAAGACTGTTGTGGTGTTCGGGCCGAGAAACGCAGACCTTGATCAAGTGGAAGGCTGCACAACTAAGTAACTTGAAGAAGAGTGTCGCAGTATGGAGAAACATGACGCTAGCTGTCGTGCTCGGGCCCATGAAACCATGAAACCGTTACCACTTGCCTCAAACGCTTAGCCACAAAACCAAAACCACAAAACAGTAGCCGTGAGATGCTGAAGGTATTACTATGTATAACGTTCGCCCCAATGCAAGACTTCTATGACAAGGATATGGGAGGACAGAAGGAGATGTGCAAAAGCCTTGCGATGTGCGGGAGTCAAGGTCCTAAGATAAGCATGCCGAGCCAGGTTTTTTGGATGCGGACGCAGACTAGGGACTCTGGGAACGTGTTTCATAGAGGCGAAGCATAGTACCTTGCACCCTGGACTTGATCTCTCTTCTGATAGCGTGTCGCAATGAATACGGACGTCGGAGATTAGGAGCAAGGCGTGCAAGGACCGGCTGGAAATCTCCGAACCGGGATGCTGCGACTTGCGAGATGCTGCCGCAAGGTTATGGACGCGCACACGAGCGACCTTCGAACTAACACCAGAGGCCAGTAAACATAGGTGGCTACTAATAGGTGGAGTGGACTTGGAACCTAGGAACTTGAGTCCACTAGAACACTCCCATCTTCCTTTACGAGCTTTCCTATCAAAGTTTTTGATATTCACACATTGAGTAACAAGGTCCGCCACTATTTACTAGTACAAACTCTGGACGCAAAAGAAGAAATACTATCTACCACCTCGGCTTCATTGTCATAGAAAAGTGCATGACTACCACCTTCGACCATACGAACATCTAAATTCTTGTAATAAGGCTTCATCTCTTCAACCACAACAGCCCCTTTAACCTGTTGATCAGCTGTACCTCCTAAGACTAACATTGGAAGCCCCGCCTTCCCGAGCTCATATAGCTTCTCCGGATCCTGGGGCCGTGATAGTACATGGCTGCACACCTTCGGGGGCTGCAGCAGCGCACTTCCGAGGCATGACGCTTTGAAATTGAACGGCACATTTTTGGGGTCGACAAAAAGAGAGTCGACAAACTCGATGGTGGTCTTCGCGCTGAAATTGACATCATCTGTGTTGAAGAGACCGGGAAGAAAGCCAAGTACGGTCGAAGTCCCAACACGGCCCATGATTGGCCCAATGAAGGGCAGTGCCGCTAGGTAGACGACTCCCGCGAGGGTGTCCTTGGGAAGGTGCGAAGCAATGTCGCACACAATGGTACCTAGACAAGTGCCTGAGAACGAGGACAGTCTTCAGGAAAGGGAGAAGATGTACATCCGAGGCTCCTGAAAAAGAGAATTACATAAGTTCTGATTTCAACTACGAGTCACTCCGTACCATCCGATAAAAATAGGCTTTTTAACATTGAAGGCGCGCGCAACAGCCCTGAAATCTTCTGCAAAGATCTCAGAGGAATAATCGTCCAGCGACTCCGGCATCGCGCTTCGTCCATGGCCACGAATATCGTATCTAACCTATAGGAAAGGATGAGTCCAAAGAGTTCCAAAGAACAAGAGAACGAACCAAATAGAAGTTTTCTGTCAACGTCGGATTGGCGAAAAGATTATCGAAGACAGCGCCACTCAAAGCAAGGCCGTGTACAAAGACGAGGCACGGCTTGGTTGGGTCACCCGCCGCATCGGCGTATATCAGTGCACCATCCTTGGAAGAAACTAACTGGGCGGTAGACGTAGGCAACATGCTGGGGGAGCACTGTAGTCATTGATCAGTCATGCAACTATATGTGAGGGCGACGACCAGGAATGCGGACCTTTGCCGTTGCATCAATCATCGAAGCTGATAAATTTCAGTCACATTGATGTTCACAGGGCTCGACATTCTGATTCGCCTGCAACATCAGCGAAGCATCGGTATTAGCCAGTGGGACTGATCGCGTTGCAATAATAACTTGATGTATTCCTTTCTCCCATGCGATCATGGACCCCGGTGACCATGTCTGCACGTTCCATACTGATTCTGAAAAGCTTATGCTGTTCCCGAGCCGTTCGGTCTACCGTGGCGGTTGACATGGAGGATTATTGAATTACTGTTTCCCATCTATAGGTCTTCAGGTTCTACACCGGCCTGGGTCGCTTGATCGTGAGCTCGGCTTGAGGGTTGATTAGATGTAGTTCGGAGGATAGAGTCCGTAGTTCAGTACCTGCAACACTGCGTTGGGTACCCAAAAGAGGCAAATTCAAGAAATCTTTGTCCAGAGTTAGCCGGAAAATGGGCCGTGATTTTGGATTAATTTTGGTCCCAAATGTAACATTTGTTAATGATCTGACGGAACTCTAAGACCGTTGATTCAACCAAACGCATGACAACTCGCGCTTTTCATTGGCTCTATGTCTGCATTCATACATGATACACCAACCCATCACTTGTTCATCAACTTACCGAGGGCTTAATATATATGGACCATGGGAACCCACATTTTGCGAGCGCAGAAGGGTCGATGAGATTTTAAGCAAGGATACTAAAATGTTGTTAAAACCAATAACGCACCTATTTTCACTGCAGCACTCGTTGAAAAGCGACAGAAACATTCTTTATATGCATGAAATCAACATTCTAGATTCCTAGAGAAATACTATAAGAAGCGAAAGAAATACAGCACGATGAAATCTCTTCATCTCGGGAACGTAAACTTTGTAGTTGTTTGTACAACGGACAAGACCACATGTTTTAGCCAACTTTACTCACTGCGCTCGCAATGATGATCCATTCAATGCCCTTCGGACTTTCACAACTATCAAGGCACCACTCCTCTATAAGGACCGTGACCGGCGTTGGGAATGCGATCAGTTCTATTCAATTTCCACTACTAGGCAGAGTTCTGTACACACTGGAAATCAAAGCCATCATGCCCCATATTTGCTCCATCTCGCATCTCCAGAGGTTATTTTATGTCCAATCTGTGACACAGATAGGTGTACTTCAAGTTTCCAACTAAGGAATCAAGATCGTATGTCTTCTGGCCCCACTATACCACAGGTTCGCGGTAAGCTTCTGAATGCTCTCATTGGCGACATTGATATGAACTTTCCTCACTAGTTACAGTCTACGTGCTGCCCACCATTGCTATAGTCGTCACCCTCTTCCGTTTGTATATTCGATATACAAGGGGGAAGCTATGGTGGGATGACGCTTGGGCGCTTGTCTCCGCCATGTTGTCGGTCATTTTCTCAGTTGCTGTCGTCCTCCATGTCAAAGATCCCAGTAGGTTTTACAATGTTCTACCGAGCTTTTCTCAAAGTCCATTCAGCTTCACTAGCACAGAACGTTAAAATCGGTGTTTACTATATGTATGAAATATCCCCTTCAATTCAACGCCGCGAGCTAACGAACAGTGGGATAGGTGTGCCCAGTTCTTCTATGCCGTTAATTGGAAAGTTCAATGCGATATTAAAAAATGCTTGTCAAAACTAAACCCGCACTTACAGGACAGCCCGTGTCTCCATTCTTTTTACAATTATTCGACTTTCCGTTGGGAACATGAGACGGATCCTCACCTTCATATCTTTTCTCTTCTTGATTGCCTGGCTCATTCTCTTCGCCCAAGTCTGGTGGGTTTGTGAGAAAGAGCCAGGATGGAAGAACGCGACGATCCCACAGTGTATGCTTGGGGAGAATGTCGCTATCGCCCAGATAACTGGTATATACATTTTAAATCTATCCTCTCCCACTATTTCTAACATTTTCCGATAAGTTGATGTTATTTCGGATGCGATTCTGATTGTCGCCCCCATTCGTCTCCTGTGGCGCGTACACCTCGAATCTTCAACCAAGATCCGTCTCATGGCTGTATTTGGGACTACGCTCATTACGACTGCCGTTAGTCTCTATCATGCCTATGTTGTATTTCGTATCGGTGGGCTCCCAGAAGCCCGGGCCGCGACGATCCAAGTATGCCTTCGAACCTTCACCTTGGCGTGGACTTAATTATTCCTTCATTAGACATCCGTCAGCCTCTTGGTTGCAAACCTATCTGTGGTCATTGCATTTATCTTCAGGCTCAAATCAGATTCAGAGACCGAGAACACTGCGCCGCTCTCGATCACAACTTTTGGAAAACGTGGGGGTAGACCGAAGGAGCCTAACCTTTTCTCGACTATCGGGTTAGGAACCCAGGACTTTGGTGTGCTCGAAAGTACCCAGTCAAACGTCGGTGTCCAAGTCAGCCAGTCGACTCGTGTGGATCTTCCCGGAGCGAGTGACACTACGATCATTGGGAAGTTCGGTCAAACATCTGACGATGTGTATCAACTGAAGACATTTGGATCATCGACCGCCTCTATTCCGGAGGAGAAATAGGTGGCACCACGAAATGATTCTGTCCGTATTAGTGACGATAACAACTTAATTCTCGTAAATACTGCCCATTGTACTTACTAAAATTACGTCCTTCATGCTTTTCACGTAAATGATCTTCAACTTGCTGGGAATGGAAAGCTTCAGCGATCATGGGGTGAGCGCTTCCATGGGATCAAAGTGAAAAAGACGGGACTTGGTGGGGTTACAAGGCTGGAGAGACAGAGTCTTGATGACCAGATGAAGGTAGGCTATGCTTCCTTCATATCGACGAGGCACAGCATGCCAGCTCCACAGAAATGGAGCATTGATGAGATTACTGAGTGGATTCGGCGCATCGTGCACAACTTTCTCCGCACCGATGTTCAGATCTCCAATACTCAAGACTTCTTTGTTGTCGGAATCGACAGGTCCAGTTTCCTTCTCTCCTTCCTCATCCGAACATGCCAAGCTCATCCTTCTTCTTCATATATGCGCTCATTCCGACTGACTTTTACCAGAATGTATAGGGAAAGAGTTTGGTTAGACGCCCGACAGAAGATACTCTACTCGGACAAATGATATCTGGTCTCTCGGTGGCCGTTCTCACAACGATGGTCACTAGGTGTGGCGGTGACGACAGACTATTCCTTCAACTCATATCTTCTTCAGGACGGAGATCTCCTACGACGCTTCTTGCTAGGTATATCTGCAGGCGCCTGTACCATCCTCAAGAAGATCTTCCGTCTGGAACCTCACAGTCGTATTTCCTTGGCTGATCGTCAACGTGAAATTACCGAACTCAAGACATTCTTCTCCAATGAATCTTCTTCCGATTCCTCGTCCCACAATTCTCCTGTTCTCCAACGCTCCATCTCATCGCTAGGCTCCACCCCTCCGAGCGAGATTGGTGCGATGCGTATCGATGACACTGATGTTCTTCTAGTCACCCGCAGTATAATAGAAGCAGGTGTCACGGGTGACGACTCTCTTGCGCTCGATCTTCGGGCAATCCATCTTGTCGGTGTCGACAGGCCTGTCAGCGCTCCAGCCGTCGTGAACTCTTAATTCGTAGGTGATGAGAGTGGCATAATGTCCGTACCACCATCATTGCAGGCTATCCATCCCGTGATGTCCTCCAGATCGATTGCTTCGTCGGTGGATAGTGATGGACCTATAGCGCCAGAGACTCACCCAGTTCACGTCGATGTCAGTGAGGTGCCGGACATGGAGGAAGGCGAAGGTATTGGCGAGATGAACATAGCATTGGTGGTAAAGGATGACGAGAATGATATTCAACCGGCTGATTTGGCTGACGACGCTGGTTCGCAGAAGAAACGGGGGTTCTTCCCGCGGTTTGTTCAGAAACTAGTTGCGTCTTGGAATAAGTTGTCGAGGATTTTTCCTTTGGTTTATGTTATATGCATCATCCTATGCCACAACTCGGAATCATGCATTGATTTTATTCAATATCTGTTTTTTTGAGTTCCATGAAACGGAGACTGGAAAGGTCGGACACATTTTCTTTTCAGTGTCTTAGGCGTCACGATCGCATCATCAACTTGCCTCCTCTTCCATCTTCACTGAGCGCTGATGGCAAGGCTTGACGCTATCGACGAAGATCCTCTGGAGTGCATCTTCTGGCTTGTTGATCGATGATACGTGTAAAATCTGTGCTCTCTGTATTTGAGGGAATTGGAGTTCAACCGTTATGATGCACCTGAGAAACGCTTGGATTTCGTGGGAGGCCATATGGTTTCTAATATACATTTTACTTATGGCAATGTCTGCAGCTACCTTTACAACAAGGACTCCGTAACCTTCATCGCCTTGAAAAACCGTTTAAATCTGGAAAAGATCCATTAAACATGAAAAATTTGCATACGTTCTGCGAGGATATTATTACTGAAGAACGGAAGTTCACTATGGCATGCAGTAAGTGTGAAGCATAGTGAGCATACATGACAACCTCACCATATCTTGAATTATCCTCCGCAGAAATTGAAACCTGAAATAGAAGCAGCTGGCAATCTTCAATGTATGCAGCTGTGTCGTCCTCAGCGAATGCAGACGTTGGAGGGCTCGGCTCGTCCACTGACGTTTAGCATCGCGTTCTTCGTCTGAGGAATTAGGCTACTGCCGCATCGTGAGCAAACTCTTGCCACCGTGGATACCAGCATAGCCAGCCAGTAGAAGAAAGTCCTCATCTTCAGTGTCGGAATCGTGCTTGGTATTGGGGCAGAAAGTGGGCGATGTTCTAGGTGATGGTCAATGTTCAAGGATCACATTACCCTTTGTATCGCTGACCACGATGACGTCCAGGGCCAACGGTATCCTCCCTCGCGAACCTACGCCGTCCTCCGACAGTGGCCAGGACCGGTATGAAGCCATCTTCACACCGGCGCACCTCGCTTGCCGGCGATGTGTCAAATCAAATACATGGGCCGTCGCAAAGGTACTATATAGACCAAAATGTGAGGATATTTCCAGTGATTGAGTGCCACCTTTACGAGCAGACAAAGAGGACCGGCAGATAACGACAGTGGGAAACTAACTTGTCAGATATCTTGAGGTCATAGTAATGCCAAGGTAATACATTGCGACGGTTCTTTCTTCGTTAACAGTAACAGCTCCGCAGGCCAAAAATATATAGTATTTAGACTGAGACCATCACGGTCTCCCCAAAGAAGAATTTGCAGTCCGAATTCCCCAAGCATCCAGAACAGAACTCAAAATCGCGTTGTCGATACCAACACACCAATCCCGGTGGCGCATCCAGTTACCTGGATTATACTCAACATTCCCAAGAGAGACATCACACCCGCATCCCAAACACACCACCTTGTCCCGTTCGACCCTGTCTGCATCAACCCAAAGCTCGTACCTGAGGAAAAGTCACCTCTGCTTCCCATCGTTCCGGCTGAACCGATAAAGTGGGCTCTCGAACGTTTTCAGAAAGCTCACTTCGGGACCGTTTTGCGACACCAGGAACGTCTCTTTCTGATATATGCTGAGTTTCCGTGCACGCGGGCCGTGATAAGATGAGCTCTAGCTTCGACTCGGTGAAGAGGCACTGACCAAGATCTTTGGGATTTCGGTTGGAACGGTAATTCCTCGTGGACGGCGATCGTCACTCGGATAGGGTAGGATGATCGCCACCTGCACCTTCCGCGGCGACAGCGGCATGGGCGGCTGGTCTGTCTCAATGGCGCGCTCCAGCCCGAAGGCGACCGTGAGGTCGAGGATGTTTCGGGAGGCATAGATGGAGCAGGCATTTGAATCCCACTGGAATCTTGCATTCTGCGATGAGTCTGGACATTTGTGACTGCTCCGTATGCTGGCGCCGAAGTGAGAGACGTCGAAGTAAACGCTGGAGAATTCGCAGGGAAAAGTTGGCTCGCACCAGATTGGTGGGAGAGAGGATAGCCGGGTCCATTCATGATGGAAGGAGAGCGGGAATGGTTGCAGTGGATGACGATCAGATTGTTTTTAAGTAGATCCGGGCAGAGGGACAAAGACAGGGGGGGCGGATCTTAGGCGCGCAACAAAGACCAGTCCACGTGGCACCATTTACCGTCTGGCTTGTTCACTGCATTCTCATACTGGCGATGCGAGTTCCGTAGATGTCAAATGCTGCGCTCTACCACTGGCTGCGCGACAAAAGTAGACGAGTGTGCAGCACGAGATAACAGCTCATAGAGCAACGTCCTAATCTTCGGGAACGAAATATTCTTTGACTCTCTTTACGATCACCCGGGAATGGTTTTATCTGCGTTCATGAGAGATGCCATCCTCGGTGTTCGTCGTTAGCCATAATGGTGTCAATAGCCGTGAGAATTGGCGTGGTCGGATGTAAAACGAGCACTGCTAACAGGGAGAGGATACTCCCCGCAAGGAAGGCGATTGATATCTCTGTGGCCCTCTGTTTGAATAAGAGACGGTGGGAGAAAAAGAGGCGTAGTATGCTCGTTGCCGAGTACAGAGACCGGTTTCGATCCCGACGATGAGAATAGCGTAGTATGGCTGATGCACCCTGGAACGTTAGATGCAGTACCGATGTACTTGTCGAACTGCGTACTGCACGATTCAATTGGAGGTGGGAAGATAGTCAATGGCCTCTTGAAGCATGTTGACCATACACTTTCTCGCTGGTACTCTCACTTGTATCACTGCTGCAAGTCGAGAACTAAGATGCCATTGTAGTTGGGGTTCAAAGAGCGAGACACGATATCCTGTAGATCGGATTGGGAACGGCGGCGGCGAAGGGAGTGTCAGTCGGAGAGACCGTTATTCTGCTCACGTGGCCGTGACATATCGCGTCTATTTGCTCTTTTCCAACATCTCGTCTGTCACAGCAGTTTATCAATACAAATGCAGACCGGCAGGAGACTTTCCAGGGTACATATAACTTGAAAAAGGATACGTCAGTCGTGGAACGACAGACAAAGCGGGATGTCGTTTTGGCAAGCGGCAGAAAATATTGGCTGACAGCGAGACAATAGACAATTCCTTGGGGCTGAAGATACATTGCCAAGTTTCAAAAGATGGGTTTGCCAAAAAAAAAGAGAGGGCTCACTGGTTTGATTTGGACCGAATGCATCTGGAAGGTTCATGTGAGGATCGACTCGGTCTCACAACCATAGACCTTAACCTTCACGACGATAAGATATCCAGAAAACTGAGTAAACTATGGTCTGGCATTCGTGAATCACTCTGAGCTGCCGCCATGCGACTACCAACTTCATTTATCCCCACAAATGCGACATGTAAGAGGGAGAGGCTGCGTGGTGAACTCTTCACGTCTTCTCCCTATCCACGGTCGCAGAGAAGAGAAGAGGTCGAGTAATATCCGAGTGTCATACGGATGGGCCAAGGTCGTAATCAGAAATTTGCGCTTGTAGCTGCTGGCCTGTGACTGGATGCTGAAATATCCCAGGTAGTCCATATTCGATTGTCGTTGTCCCTATAGATGTTCAAGTTAAAGTGGCTTGGAAGGAAACACGACACACACCTTCGCTTGGCTTCAGAAGGATACCTATCCAGACATTGATGACCTTTATCCAAAGCCGCGTGCGTTTCCAATTTCCCTTGAGAACCTGGTCCTCGATGTGCTGTGGGCGCACGGGAGAAAGGCCGTATCTTTGTTGCAATGAACGATGACAGGAAGGGCAGCAGTGAAAGCTTGGGCAGCATAAAGCTTGAATAAAATCAGATAGTCGATAATCCACTGGAAGAAAACGAGTTCAAAATAAAACAGCCGGCATGATGAGCATTCTGTGTGTCGCGATGTTTGTTCAAAAGTCATGGCAGGCCGAATATGGCCGACGGCGCTTGCCGTCTTTCCGCTCACCCCTAAACTACGTCTTCTCTATTAATATCTTCGCCTTCCTTGGCTTCATTATCACTGCTACAATATCACTACCTTCAATTGAATCATTATCTTCAATACCAATGCTGCATGATATAAGACACTTGTGCTTACGACTATCTTCTACTGGCGATTACAGAACTGCAACCGACTACGACTGCCAGCTCTGGTCGCTAATAATGCTGTCACATCCTTGTATCAATTTTTCCTCACTCTTAGCTCGCTCTCCTCATTGCCCTCCAACTATCACCCAGTCGTCTCTTCCAGATCTTGTCCCTCTCCCAACCTGACCAAGCAATCTAGCCCTCTTTGAGTTCAGAAAAACCTTCTCCCAAGTTCAAACAGGCTTTTGGTGTATGTGACTTTCCAATTTTCCTTCATTTTTGACTGAATCCGGTACGACAGGTCCTCGTGCTATAGCAATCCATCGCGTTCATGGCACCAGCATGCCCTACGATGTTCCAATACCTGGCTCAAGGCCTTCGGTTGTGTCCACGCACGACTGCAGGAGCAGTCATTTTCCCAAAACGACATACATGGGGCTTCAGTGTGGCTGATCAACGAAGAAAGACGTATTTAACGTAGCGGAGAACACGATGGAGAGACACCGTAATTCAATCGTATGTTTTTCTTTCATCTTTCTCTAAGCTTTTGTTCAAGGTATTATTCAGAAGTTCGACCACCACTGACAAAAGAGACGTTTGCGGGGCCCGGTAATCTGGATGCGGTTGGTATCATATGCGTACGTGATATCACTAATGAAAATTTCAGTATTTCTTCCTAACGTCGGATTCACAAGAGTATACAGGTGTGCGGCCCATCATCGATACAAAATCTGCCTTGTATGTCGCTCTTTGCGAAGGAGTGTCAGGATGGAGTCGACGCCGTGATCTCCGCGTGTACCCGCATGCTTTTGCAGGGCCCGAAACATGCAGGATGTCGTTGGCTTCTAACACGCTGGTTACACGAATCCCTCGCTGTACCCCGTATAATTCGACCTGCGAGTTGCAACACCTGCCTGCCTCTACGCAAATACACCTTGATTCCATAACCCCTTGACTGCATATCTGGAAAATGAGAAATAGTACGTGTTGTTAATCTATTTCGTTTGGAGTACTCAGTACGACGACGTTAGTACTATCGAGAATTATTGGCCTACTTTTGAGCGGTGTCGAGTCAATTTAGATTCACTTACGCTCCGTCTTTTCGAATGCATGGATGAAGGATTCATCTCCTGATGCAATATCCGATTCTGACCAGAATGCCAACATAATTCCGCCTTCAGAGTTTCAAGAGGCGATACCTCATGGCAGTTCTACTGCAGAAAGTAACGGCCCTGTCTTGGAGGTAACGACACACTCGCCGCCTGACCTGAGCAGTGCAGAAACAGCTCCAGAACCCCTGAGCTGCGATTCTGAGGCTGTTTCTATATTCCCAGAGCCTCACGCCCAGGAGGTAAGCCAGTTAGCAAACAAACAGAGAAGAGTTTGTTAACATATTTTCAGGACCTCACTTTCCCCGTAGTCACCATTTCTGCCTGCACTGAAACGGGCCAAGAAGAGTCGTCGATCAAAGTTCCATTCCAACGATCCTACACCGGTCGAAAGCCCGTAATATCATCCTCCCTCGCCGACACTCCGTGCGCTACCCTCGGTGTTATGGGCATCTTGGATGAACTGAACACTACCCTTGGAACATCACATACCCTGGACACTCCATCCATCTCCTCCACTCTCGAAGACTGCATCATGAACAACTACGACTTTGGCACTGCATATGGCCGTCTCCGCGCGGTATGGGGCACCAAAGACTGGAATACCATCCAAGATGAGATACGTACACGCGAAGCTCGGGACCAGGAGATGCGACGAGATGCACTTGTCGATAACCGGATTGTCAGACCGGAATTGGAACCTCGACGGGTCTGGGATCTATACGCTAATCGGGTGGTGTCATTGTGGAGCAGCGATGCGTCTGCATTCTGGATCACGCCGTTAACTAGTTTGATCACGGTGATGGAAATGAGATCGAATGTTCGGCCGGTATCGCATGCGTGGATGGACGCGAAGGTGTTGAAGTAGCACACCCTCCATGTCGCTCTTACCTTACATAATCGTAGCTACCAATACTGGAGGTCGAAAGTCAACGCTTACTAGCTTTTGAC